TCCAGTCTGGGCGACAGAGTGAGACCCCAACTTAAAAAAAAAAAAAAAAAAGATTGGTTATAAAACTTTTTTTTCCGTCAATATGTACTACAAAAACCTCTCAGTACACATAATCATAAAAGTAAATGGGAGCCGGGCTCGGTGGCTCAGCCTGTAATCCCGTGCCTTTGGAAGGCTGAGGTGATGGGATTGCCTGAGCCCGCGGGTTCGAGACCCGCCTGAGCAGCGATACCTCATCTCTACAATAAATCAAAAAAAAAATCACCCGGGCATCGTAGCACATGCCTGTAATTCCGGCTACTCGGAAGGCTGAGGTGGAAGGATCGCCGGAGTCCAGCAGGCGAGGCTGCGGTGGCCGGGAGCGGCCACTGCACTCCAGTCTGGGCAACTGAGTGAGACTTCAACTCAAAAAAAAAAAAAGGAAATGGGAAAATATACATAAGCCGGGCTCGGTGGCTCAGCCTGTAATCCCGTGCCTTGGGAGGCTGAGGTAAGTGGATTGCCTGAGCCCACGGGTTCGAGATCCGCCTGGGCAACTGGGTGAGATCTCATCTCTACAATAAATCAAAAAAAATTTAGCCAGGTGTGGTAGTGCGCGCCTGTAATTCCAGCTACTTGGAAGGATGAGGCGGAAGGATCGCTGGAGCCCAGCAAGTGGAGGCTGCGGTGGCCGGGAGCAGCCACTGCACTCCAGTCTGGGCGACAGAGTGAGATTCCAACTCAAAAAAAAATAAATAAATAAATAAGAAAATATATATAAAATTACTTTGTAGGCTACAAAGTATTATATATGATATTACTGTAATTCTTTCTATTGTTATCATCATCATCAACATCACTTAACTGGAATAGGTATAGGCTTCAGGACTTCAAAAAATATATTAGCTCATAAGAAAGATTCTAAAATTCTTCATACTAACTTCAAGTCACATAAAATGAAAAACTTGTACTATATCTAACAGGACTCAACTTGATAGGGAATCTGGGGAATTGCCCTAACTCTACTAAGCAGTAAAATTTTACTATTCCTTTTGTGTTGGTAGAATCAAAGAATGTGACTATCCAAAAGCCTTCATAAGCCTGCAGTCAAGAACTGGAAATCCTCATAAATCAGGGTGGTTATTTGGCAGTAGATATTAATGTGTAGCAACTTTGCAGAAAACCAAAAATATCTGAACTTTGTTGGCTGTATCTATACCCTAAGCAACAATTCTACTAGTAGCAAGAAAAAAAACCTGATCTGTTGAGAAGAAAAGTTACATATAATCATTAACCAAGTAGTTCAAAGATGACAAAGAGAATAAAAAGCAATTATAGGAAAAAAGTCACAGGATGTACAGCAAAATGATTGCAGACTTTGCATCTGAAATTATGTACACAAGAAAGCAACAGCAACACATTCTTAAATTGCTGAGAGATAAAAATAAATTAATCTAGAATTCTATACCCTGTAATATAGGGTCAAAAATTGATGAAAAAACATAAGAATCTTTAAATGCATCTAATAACAGAACTCAGAAATGATAAAGCAAACACTTGGCAGAACTGAAAGGAGAAAAAGTCAAATCTACAATTACACTTGGAGATTTTAGTACTTTTCTCTCAATAATCAAGAAAACAAGTAAACAGAAAAATCAGTAAAAATAGGAAATACTTGAAAAACACTATCAATGAATTTGACCTAATTGACATTTATAAAACACTTCCCCCAACAGCATCAAAGTACATATTCTTTTTAAGTGTACCCAGAGAATTAACCAAGATGGAGCATATTCTGGCTAATGAAACAAACCTCAATACATTTAAAAATTCTGAAATAATACAAATTACATTCTCTGACTACACAGAATTAAATTAGATATAAATGACAGAAAGATTATTTTGAAAATCCCCAAATAGGGGAGAGGAGAACCTATTCAGTAAATGGTGCTGGGAAAACTGGCTGACCATATGCAGAAGATTGAAACAGGACCTCTACCTATCCCCATACACAAAAATTAACTCTAAATGGATCACAGACATAAATGTAAAACCTCCAACTGTAAGAACCTTGGAAAACGCAGGAGACACTCTTACGGAAGTTGGAACTGGCAACCAATTCCTGATCAAAACCCGAAGTGCCATGCCATAAAAGATAAGATAGACAAACGGGACCTCATTAAACTGACAAGCTTCTGCAAAGCCAAAGAAATCATCAAGAGAGCAGGGAGATAGTCCACAGACTGGGAAAAAATATTTACCGACTCCATGCCTAACATCAAAGATCTACAACAAACTCAAACGCGCTGAAAAGAAAAAAACAGCCCCATTACAAAGTGGGCAAAAGATATGAATAGATACTTCTCAAAAGAAGACATACACGCAGTCAACAGATATATGAAAAATGTTCAGCTTCACTAGTCATCAAGGAGATGCAAATTAAAACTACACTGAGATATCACCTAACTCCAGTCAGAATGGCCATCATCAATAACTCAAAAAATAACAGATGCTGGAGAGGATGTGGCGAAAAGGGAACACTTCTAAACTGCTGGTGGGAGTGTAAACTAGTACAGCCTCTGTGGAAATCAGTGTGACGATTCCTAAAAGTTCTAAAAATCATCCTTCCATAAGACCCCGCAATCCCCCTCCTGGGAATATACCCGGAAGAACTCAAATTACTCTATAAAAAAGATACCTGCACATATGTGTTTATCACAGCATTGTTCACAAGAGCAAGAACATGGAACTAACCATGCTGCCCATCAAAAGAGGACTGGATTAAAAAATGTGGTAATATACACAATGGAATATTATGCAGCCATAAAAAACAAAATCATGAACTTCGCAGCAACCTGCATGGAATTAGAGTTTATAATACTGAGTGATCTCTCACAGAAACAAAGAGCTGAGTATCACATGTTCTCACTCATAAGTGGACCTTGAACAACTACCATAATACTATAAGAAAAGGACTGACAGTAGTGGGAACCTGCAGGGGGCAGGGGGTGGGGTGGGATTGACAGTAGTCGATATCTGCCTGGGGAAGGGGAGGGCATACATCATCAACAAAGGTACCTGCACAATGAATATTTGTATACCTAACCGTGAATTGTACCCCACAATTTTAAAATAAAAATTAAAAGAGGGAAAAAAAGGAAAATCCCCAAATATTTAAAAGTTAAACAACATTCTTCTAGATAACCAATGGATTAAAAAAAAAAACAGCAAAATACACACAAAGTATATTAGAAAATATTTTAAATTGAATTAACATAAAATATAACACAGCAAAAAGTGTGAGATGTAGCTATACCAATGCTTAAGAGTAAAATTTCGAGATTTAAATGTTTCAATTAAAAAAAGAAGATCTAAAATCAACAATTCATTCTTCTACATTAAGAACCTAGAGAAAGAAGAGCAAACTAGCCTCAAAGTAAATAGAAGGAAGGAAGTAATAAAGACAACAAATAGGAACTAAACAAAGCATACAGAAAATCAGTGAACTCAAAAACTTGTTCTTTGAAAAGATCGGTAAAACTGACAGATATCTGCTTAAATTGAGACAAAAAGAGAAGACACAATTACCAATATGAAGAATAATTACTACAAAATTATAGACATTTGAAAATAAGGGAATAATATGAGCAACAATAAAATATACAAAAAATTTAACTAAATGAAATGTATTCCTTGGAAGAACCAAACTATCAAACTCACTCAAGAAGGAATAGATAACCTGAATAGCCCTATATTATTTCAACTTGAAGTCATTGTTTAAAAACCTTTAAGCACACACATACACAACTTGGATGTCCAGATGCCTTCACCAGTGAATTCTATCAAACATTAAAAAGAGAAATAAGCCGGGCTCGGTGGCTCAGCCTGTAATCCCGTGCCTTTGGGAGGCTGAGGTGAGTGAATTGCCTGAGCCCGCGGGTTTGAGACCCGCCTGGGCAACTTGACGAGACCTCATCTCTACAATAAATCAAAAATTAGCTGGGCGTGGTAGTGTGCGCCTGTAGTTCCGGCTGCTTGGAAGGCTGAGGCGGAAGGATCGCCGGAGCCCAGCAGGTCGAGGCTGTGGTGGCCGGGAGCGGCCACTGCACTCCAGTCTGGGTGACAGAGTGAGACTCCAACTCAAAAAAAAAAAAAAGAGAAATAATAAGGCTGAGGTGGAAGAATCGCCGGAGCCCAGCGGGTCAAGGCTGTGGTGGCCAGGAACGTGCCACTGCACTCCAGTCTGGGCATCAGAGT